ATCTTAGATTGAGAGAGAAGAGAATTTGATTGTTATCTTTGCATAACATGTATTTAAAGCGAATCGCGATTTCGCGATTGTCACTTCGCGCATCACTCGTAATTTCAATTTTCGCAAAATTCGCGGTCGCCTCATGCGGACGCCTTTTGCCTTATCCTACCTGTTGCTGCTGATGTGATGATAGACGGCGTGATAGAATCAAGATGCAATACACCAACTTGGATCGGATGACGACTGAACTGAACTGAACAATCCGGGGCAGTTTGCCATCCACCGCGGATATATGTCGGGGAGTTTCCAGGGCGCAAAATTCCATCGGCGAGTCCTGCGCAAACGCATCCTTCTTCGGCAGGACTTCTTCGCCAATTCGCGAAAAGACGCGCGTCGTACACCGAGTTCCCGTACACCCACCCCAATACAATTCGTGCATGTGCTTGTATACGTACAGCGTATCTCCAGTTCGAGCAAAGATCATAGGGTCAAATTATTCCTCCAAAGGAATTTTTATACGAAGATTATGCGAATTGACTTGCAAATTAAAGATCCACGTGCGCGCAAAGAGAAGGAAGTATTGTTTTCTTTGATATTGTATGAAATGTTTTGCAACGATCATTTCATCAAAAAAAGCGAATGTCAAGAAATGATGTTTATTTCAAATTTTTTTTATGTATTTTCATTAGAAATGTAAACGACGGAAAAATACTAGAATTTTAGAATAAAAAGCTTGGAAATTAATGGTTTTTTTCCTTCAGTTTTAACAATTTTTTACTCGGATATTTTTTTTAGGTTATTTAGGTCTGTCGCATTACTTGAAATTCCCCAAAATTTTTGCACTTAAAGTGATATGATTAGAAAGATTTGGGCGTTGAAAAAAAAAGAAAGCACAGATGCTGAATGCAAAGAGTACAAACAACGCAAACAGATCCATTAACCTATTATCAACTCATCAAGAATTGCAATAATGCTAATAATGCATATTTCCGCTTCAATATAAAATCAGAAAGACAAAAGTATTAAAAAGTATCGCAAAATAACAAGAAAAATGAATTTTATTTCTTTTTCTACATATTCAACATGAATTCTATGTTTTTTTATGAATTTTATGTAATTTGGTCAAAAATATCGGTTTTTTACAGTAAAAAACTAGTTTTTTACTTGACACTTTTCTCCGAAGTCAAAAATACCCTTTTTTACATCTCTAATTCTCATGCAGTTTATTATAAGATTAATTCCATAAAACAAATTACTCTAATTTAAGTTTAGCCTCTGTATGAAAAGACTCTTATTTAGAATTTATTTAATATGTAGTATTTATTTTCGTAATTATTTTACAAACTAACATACAAAGCTTACCTCTTAATTATATCTATAGAAAATAAAAATAATATAAAAATAACATAAATACATGAAAAGTATCTGTTACGTACATCCTTATTATAGCAATGGATAGGAACGTCAATCCTTTTGCTATGGATATTGCTCATGAACTTGCTGATGTAGTTTACTATCTCCTTACCGCGAATGCAGAATTCTTCGATGTCCATGGCGATTTATTAATTATTACAAGCAATTTAGCAATCTTTGCGTCAGTTATTAAACTATTAAAATCCGTACTTTTCGAAACAGTTTAAATATGTCGTATATTTTTTCATGATATTTGTGTTAAATATTTCTGTATATAAAAAACCGAAAAAAATTCTTGTATGTCTTTCGTAACTATCAGTTATTATCAGAATCCTTTACTATATTTTTAAATCATCAATACGACAATGATTTTTTGACACTTAAGTTTGAACATATATAATAATATTATTTTATACATAAAAAAGTAATAGTAAAATCATTAGAATAATTTATATAAATATATTGTTTTTTTATTTCTTTTACGGAATTTATATCAGACGTAAGTAAATATGTAAATATCTGTATTTTATGGTTTTCATCATTGACTTATACCAGCACAACTCTATAAAATTTAAAAAGTTTAACGAAAAGACACTTATCTTTATTAGAAAATTGAAAATCAGCAATAGAGACCTATTCGTCTATTTAAAATATCCAATGAACCATTAAATGCTCTTTTAACAGATCTTTCGGCCGATCTACAGCCATTTTCTTTTTGGCAAAAAATATTTAAAAAGCTCATCATTTATTTTTTTCTCGCAACTCTTCTCACAATCTGTAATGTTATATATATCCACACATAGTTAAGTTTTAAATTAAAATTCCACTAAGACAAAATCAACTTGACCGAAAAATATGATTTTGTTGTCCATTTGCACTTTATCTAATAATCTGAGAACCATTATGATCTTCACTCGTTAATTACTCAGAAATTGCTTAGACAGCTTCTTATTGGAGAAAGAAATCTCTCCAAATCGATCGAAGGATCCGCGGTTAAAAGGACATTCAGTGATTTGAGACACCCCGTACAGATGCCTCGTTCACTCGAGTAAATTGGATGCTGGCTTTCTCACGGTTTATTACAAAAGAAAAAGGAGGTGTACGTAGGCATCATTAAGAGGGTGCCAGCCGCAGAAGACGTCTGTTGATTCTCGTCGAGAGGGAACGCTCGGGGATGTTGAAAACGAAATGTGAGAGAGAGAGAGAGAGAGAGAGAGAGAAGAGAGAGAGAGATGGAAATCCTTGACCTCGCTCCCCTTCTCAACATTAAAGAATCGACGATTCCTGGATATCGCAGGACTTTTCGATCGCGAAGGCAGAGGAGGCGGTAAGAATCATCATCGAGATAAGATGTCTCATATATATTCCTTGCTGCTGAAATTAGCTGCCGCAATGGCGGCATTCGCCGGATCAATTTGCGTGGTAATTATAGCTCGGGGAAAATCAGGCGGATGGAACGTTAATCTAAAAGCATTATGGAATATTCGTCGATTACGATGGAATGATCCGTAATGCGTCACGATATTGATAGCAACGGAATTGATATAAATATGCCGTATTTTGGTGCCGGTAATAATTGAATTTTTGATATTGAAGAGATGTATTTTTCAAAATTTATCCTCATTTTTTCTTCTCCTATTTTTCTTTTCCTAAAATGTTCATTTCTCTTCAGAAAGAGAAACACAATATTACAGAACTTTTTTAAAATTTATTGTTAGTAAAACTTTGAAGGGATATTAAGTGTGCTGTAAATTAATATAGTTTTATTTTGACGGAAAGTTTTGTAATTCGAACACGAAATACAATTTTGTCTTTCGAAAATTTAGTTGCGCGCAACCATGATTTGTCATCGCAGAACGATTAATTGCATCGAATAAATACGCCCTAAGGCAGACGTCTATTTAGGTCATCAATTAGCGCGAATTCTGGTTAATTGAATTTTCTTTGTTCCGCGTTTAATATTACGCGGCATTTCAATTTAGAAAGGAGCAATCATTAATTTTTGAAATTAATTAACTCGCGATTTTCATCTTCTCTGGAACCAGCATATCTCTGTTATATAATGTGAACACGTCGCGTACTATTGAAATAAAATTTTAAAAAGCCGGCTTCTTCTATTTCTCCATTTTATCATTAATATTCTTGAGATCGGCGACACTCGTCGCGTCGCCATAAAGATTCTAAAGATTCGCACGTGTTGCATAATTTCGACAAAACAAAGGGCACGCGTAATGTACGGAGGACGACCTCCCATCTCGGTGCGACGGGAGGTGCAACGAACTTCGGACTGGTGATCGCGGCGTCCGACGGCAGATAGTCGGCCCTTTCGCTCACACCTTTTAGGAATAAAAACGTTCATAATGCTGGAATGCGGGAGCGAAAAGGGGATATCCCCGGTCGACGAGAGAGCTTAATAATGCAATATGGCGTCGGGGCGTCGCGACGCTATGCATGCTATGCCGCGCATACCGCTACCATATACGCCTACACATCGAACCCTCTTGCGCCCCCGCATTGTCCCCCGTAACTTACATCCCCTCTTTACCCCGTTTGGTTTCCTTCGCGAGAACGAGGCCGTACCTTCGCGTAGATCGTCGCAATCGAATGTTGATTGGAAAATATTGATGGGACTTTCCACCCGGTATCCGCAGCCACCGATCCCTTCTTCCTTCTTTTGCTCTCCATCTTCGACGTCGGAGAGGATGCTTTTTCCATCGCGGTACGCTCTGGAATTCTAGAGAGAGAGATCGGTGAAACCGAGATATATATTTTATATCTTGAAGCTATAAGACTCTCGACGGATGACACTCCGTGATGACACCGCCGGATATTAATTAGTGCAAATTGTACCCGCAATATTAAAGTAAAATGGAGGTTAGTAATTAACAACTTAGTTAACAAAGAATTTGATATACTGAGAAATTGATATCGACACCCCGAATAACTGAACTGATGAAGATCACTTTAATTTTTTGTTATCAGAACCGTGTCGATGAACATAATAGAAAATTTTAATATAATTCAAATACTTAGATTTTTAACTCTTTTCCATACCAAATGAAATTTTGGGATGACACGACAAATTTTTCTAAATTGTTTTTATGTCCATATTAATAAGTAACCTAATTTATAAAATATAACCATAATTATTTAAATATATATAATTATTACGATATTTTGTTTGGAGAGCATCATCTCGAATATTTATAGCTATTAGTAAAAGTGCATTTTAAATTTACTCTTGACAGAAATTTAATTTAAGAATAGAAATGTGTTCTTATAAATAAAAGTATATTTCTGTTTTTAAATTAATAATTAAATTAATAATATATAAGAGAGTAGAAATATATTATTCTTACACATAAGTAGCAATTATGATAAATTTTTATATTATATTATTAAATAATGCTGTTATCCATATTAGTTTAATACCTATATCGTAATGTGGATGCATTGAATATATATATTATGTTATATAATTATATGTATCGTAATTACGTTTTTTCAATCAATTATAAATTATGAAATATATTGATATGTTTATGTTTTCTCGAGCGTTTTCCGATTTATCTTCATTTTTTCACTTTACGTGACAGCCCCAGATAAACGTCACAATCGACGAAATATTTCTGCGTACGACTGTACAAGGTCGTTCCAAGTTCCATGAATGGTTCCATCGAATGGCACGCCAACGAAACGGCGATGCTTGTGACTGAACCCATGACCTACTGGCAGAGAGAGAGAGAGAGAGAGAGACGTGGTGTCTAAACACCGCCGCTGTTCGCTTCGATTTCCAGAACAGCTCAACTATTTCTGAAATTACACCCTCTAGCATTATACTGACCTTATTGACAAAAAGAAGATCTCCCGCCTTCGTAAGGGTCATTCCAAAATCTATTTTAAATCGAAATGATGCACTTCATTATTCACGTTATTGCATCATCGTAATATCTTAAAAAGTACAAAAAATTCTATGTAAAATCTTCACCATTCCATAATCAAGCTTTTCTTAGCAATAACTTAAACGGACGGTATTTCCACAGTTTTTTTTAATACTTTGATATTAAAGAATTGCTGATATTAATAATGATTAAAAGTTCAATTAAACTCTTTAAAGACATATAAAGCTTGATGACATTAAATTACTAAATAAAACTAAATTGATTAATATAAGTCAACGATTCGCAATCAACTTATCAATTCCTTCTCAATCAATTAGTTATCTTTCAATGAGTAATAAATAAGAATTGTTCAATATGTAAAGAATAAAATTATATAAAAAATAAGACAGAATTCGTAAATAAGGCCGTAGGAGTCAACCTCTAGTTGTTAAAATTTCGAGAATTTATTACATCAATAATATCTTCGTATAACATCGAGCGATGTTATACGAAGATATATGATATTATTGATGTGACAAATTCTCGAAATTTTAACAACATATCTCTATTTTGTACAAATTTCAGATGGGAAGATCGAAATGGAAGAAGAAGATACAGCAAAAAAAATCGACAGTAAGACAAACTGAAGAGTCGACAAATATAAAAGTGCCAATACATAATTTGCCAGAAAAGTTTCTCTGGATGCATGTAAGTCTTAATATCTTTCAGAATTATGAAATATGCAATTTATTCATGAAATATATATGTATTAAAAGGTGAAGAGCGGTACAAAGATCAGGAACGTTCTTGGCTACGCGATGAAGGAATTTCCCAGTTACAATAGTATTGTCTGGACGGGGACCGGAAGTGGCATCGCGAAAACAATTTCTTGTGCAGAAATCTTTAAGAGAAAAAACGAAGACCTTCATCAAGTAACAAAATTACGTTACGTCAGGTAGGTTTGTCAAAACATATGTCAGTGTACACTGCACAGTCTTGACACTCCTGATTCAATCGCCATCTGATTTCAGCTCGGAAAAGTCGAAAGAGGATACCGTTAAGGCTCATCGGATACCGGAAGTCCATATTTTACTGACTAAGGATATTAAAGACACAACTGAACTTGGGTGAGATTGACTAAATTAAACCGTGTATAATTCTTCAAAAAAATTATACTTATGATGTTCATGATAATTTGATTAGTCTGAAGATTTAATTATTTATATTTGACATCTCTTGAGATACTATATAACTTTGTCATACAATCACATTCTTATATTTGTTACTGGCGTCCAGAAATCATAAACGAAAACAATTTTTTTAATTTAATTTCAAGAAGTATTTTTATCGATATTTAAATAAATTCGAATATTTTTTATTGATTAAGAATATTAACCCTAGCAAAGTTTGAGTGAAACTCATTTAATTAAAACAAAAATATATTATTTGTAAAATATTTTTATTTTTAACACGTTTTTTTTTGCTAATAGTTTTGTTATAATTATAAAATTAAAATTATTATCTTTTGAAAGTCTTTTATTTTCTTCGCAACATATAGATGCGTGTATATGAGAAATATATAATATTATAGTTAAAAATTATATTTTTCGATAGATATCAAGCACCTGGAGATAATGGAAGATTTCTGAAAAATAAAAATGCAACGGAATCAAAAACGACAACTACAACAGAAAGCATTGATGACACGAAAATGGACACTACAGCGGAAAGCACTGGTGATGTGAATACGGGCGTTAGAACAGAAAGTACTGGTGATGTGAATACGGACATTAGAAAAAAAAATACTGATGATGTAAAAATCGACACAACAGAAAGCACTAGTGATGTAAAAACGGGTAGTACAACAGAAAGTTTAGTAAAGGGTAGTACTGATGATGTGCCTTGCATCGACGAGCAATCTAGAATAATGAAAAAAAATAAGAAAAGAAAAAAAAACAAGGCGATAGAAAACGCGGAACTACCCTCGAAGAAAAAAAAACATCGTGACTAATATAACTGAATAGAAAATATTTTTAATTTTTTCGTTATTCATATTTCTAAAATTTTTTCTCCTTTTTTTATAAATATACGACAAATATATAAGAATATAATTATGTTATAAAGTTGTATGGCTCTTTCGAGATATCAAAAATAAACGATTAAATCTTCTAATAAATCAAATTATAATGAATAATATTATGTGTATGATTTTTTTAAAGAGCCATTCAAGACTTAATTTAGTAAATCTTACAAAATTTAAACATATCCTTCGTTCCGAGTACTGATGATAACAAATTGCAACTAAACAGCCACACACAGGTGATATCGCTCCATTCTGATAATAGTTGCAAAAAAGAAATAACATAGATCTTATGTAGAAAGTTTATTTCTTTACCATTATACATAGACAATTTTCATGGAAACAATCACACGTCATATATATGTATTCCTGCTGTGTATTCTCTCGTCACATTTCGCGGTATTCATTAATACATTATAACTCGAGTCTTTTTGTACTTACAAGTTTTATATACAGTGTTACAATATCCTCCTCAGTGCGTCGAATACGAAAAGAAACAATCTCACAATGTCAAAGCCAGTGCCGTTTAATTGAATCTCGTTACGAGAAATATTCAGTACAACTCTTATATAACAACATGCGCTGATATATGTTGAGTATGAGTTCTATAAATTGCTCTATCTTCCAGCGTATGACAAAAAATCATGTGATTACGAAGATATTATTTTTAGAAGATGAAAATTACGTATTACAATGAACATTCGGCACGTCAGAAAGTAATGCCATCATTGATCGGTTGTCGTAAGATTTCATCTTAATCTATTCCGCTGGTTAAAATAACTTTTCATTAACATTATTCGTTTAAAAAACGACGCTCGTATTCGCGCTATAATTTTATAGCAGTACCTTACAATAGATTCGGAAAGCCACAGACGATCGAATTAATAAGGCGCCCAGCCACTCTACATTTCTCTTTTATTGTAGTTTCGATCTAGCCTTATATCCAATATATGGAACAAGCAATCTGTCCAAAATTCACCGTAAACTATTACGAAAATTTTGAGAACAGCATAGGAAAGCTTAGCATCCTGTAATTTGTATTGCTATACGGAATAAATGTATATGTACTATAAATAACAGTGCTATACCACATTTATCACTATGTCTCTCGTTCAAACAATACATTTTATAAAGACCAACTACGTGATCACGATTATATATATATATATATATATATTATGGTCATCCTAATACGATGTATAATAATGTGTAAAATTCTACAATTGTTTATATAAATTCACATTCTTCTGATTATGCAAGTCGGCAACAAACATTTGAGGTGTTATCTTCACCTTATTGTTATTGAAATTTCTGTATAACTGGATCTTGCCTCAAAAGCTGCTTTGAAATATAAAGATCACTTTTCAAGCTAAATCTATTATTTTATCAAAGATGGAATAAAAGCAATAATGTAATTAGTATTATCCCATAAGTTCTCATAATGAAAAATTCCGACGATTCAGTAGAATGCACGCTATCTTTATAAGTAAATTAATGATATATGAAATTATAAAAATTTAATAGAATTTTAATACAAATAATTTGACAAAATTTTCTTTATACTTATTCCGAAATTTATGAACAATTATTCACGTAACTGAATTTGTGTAACATACATAATATGTATATAAATGAGTTATATATTTTTCCATTATACGTACTTAGTGTATAGAAAGATACAGTCTATTATTTTTTACAAAAAGATGTTTACAGAAGATAAAGCATAATATATATTATATAGAGATGAGACACTTTTTGTCATCTAGTAACTTCAATAGCGTAAGATGAAAAGTTTATAACATCATATCTTTCTTCCTTTTTTTTTCTTTAAATATGTAATATGTAATATATTATAAAAACTATAACAAAGATTAAATTATCATATACAATATGTTCCAAGAAATTTGATAGTTTTAATGAAATCTTATCTTTGCACACAGATCTTAAATTAAAAGAATTGAATAAATATAAGACATTATGCTTATCAGACACGAGAAATATTCTGTTTACAACAATCATTGAACAGCTATTAATAAAACATTCAAGGAAAATTTCTGTTCAATAAAGTACTGAGCAAAGATGAGAATGTCTTTTTCAAGATCTTTGAAATTGTCACAGTTGTGTCAAGAAAATACAATTCGACAACTCTAATGAAGCAAGTGTCTTGAACGTTATCATACATTTAAATTCAGAAATTTTTTGATATTAACTTGCTCTATATTAGAACACAAATTATAAAAAAAAGTAACGTAAACTCTAATGTAACACGAATTTTTAAATATAATTTACATACATATTTTTTATCTTTCGATATTTTGTATATATTGAAGATAGATTATAACAAATTCATATTATTTAAATAAGAGTTGAACTTTCTGATCTCTTTCAAAGATCTTCGTTATACTAATCACGAAATATCAGACTAATCCGTGAATATTAGCATTTTTCTGTTCTTACTAAATCTGGCAATTCGACTTTGGACAATACGATCGCAAAGTTAGATCCTATGCTTCGCTTTCCGTTGCGCCTTCACCTTCCATAATAGGTACTATCAAATTATCCTTTGACATCAGATTATATTTCGTCACAAATGCCGTAAACCTATAACAATGGAAAATAATATATTCCCCTTTGTAATACAACATACATCAGAAAAATATTTATATGTATGCAGATCACATTCTTTACCTGCGGCAAAGGAAAGTTTCATTTTCAAATTCATCGAATATTGTTCTATGATGGAAGTATGCATGAGAAAATATTCTGTAAACCCTACGACAGACAGAGCCAAGTTTTGCTACAGAAGATTCTTTGATGCTGATTCTGAAATACAATTTTACATAGGAAAATTTTTATATAGGTTTATTTACAATAAAAATGTAACGCGTTACGAATGAGACATGAAAGAGATACCTGCTGGGAAAATATTTGTTGCTGTTAAGTAGACATGCCGCTCCATCCAATGTGTGTCGCGTGTAATCAATTGCAGGGCACTCTTTGGGAGTTTTATGTGCCGCGCATAAAAATATCCATTGTTCAGTGGCTGTCATTTGTGTACAAGTTTCAGGATGACATTCTTCTTGCAATCTAACTGCCAAACCGTTGAGCTCCATGCAGAATTGCCTGAGATGTTCGTATTTCCATACACCCTCATCATTGGCCTCTGGCATATTGAGTATCAAATCGATATTAGACGGATCTCTTCTAATCATTTGTTGAATGTACTGTTGCACGGCCAGCGTGCTATCCATTTCTTCAAACGGCTCATCCGGCCACCTGCTAAAATCCTATAGAGCAAAATAAAACCTTGATCGTAAGCTTTTATAAAAATAATTAAATTTACGTCAGCATCCTCATAAACAATCGATCTCTTCTTCACTATATAACTCATTACGATGTAAAAATAGATCCAATATTGCGTATAAACATAGTACTCTCTGCATATTTTACTACTTATAATATTGAACAATCAATAAAAACCGAGAGATAAAAGCGTACATAAAACACGCAGTATTTCAGATAAGAATACAAAGAAATCATCTGTCGATCTGTCACGCTTCAGTGAAGGCAAAGAAATCAAAAAGATATTGTAAAACTGAATGATGCTAGGAATTTGGGGACAACATTCTCGTAGTGTAAACAGTAGTTCCGTTTACTTCGAATTCATTAATTTCATCGGGGAAGTGTCAAATGGAGGAGAAAGTGCTTAGAAATTTCCACTATCGGGCGGACCCTGACGATCGGGGTGTCGCCCGACAGTGCGACGATTTCTTAACGAAATTATAACAGCGTTAATAACCTCTGCTTTCGTCCCGGGCCTGTTTCTTCGTAGGATCGTGGGTCCGTCCGCCATCTTCATCTTGCCAGGTGTTACCCTCGGAACGACCGGTGCGTGGTGCGCTCGACTGGCGTGAAGACGGTCACTTCGTCGCCGCGGTCCCCGTCGATAGATGCACCCGCGAGCGACGATTCGTCCCACCCCGGTGACGAGACGAGTCAAACCCAGTAGTTGTCCAGATTGTTCCGCCTGACGAAGCGACGCATGCGCGTCGTGCACGGCTCATTCAGGCGTGAAAGGAAAAAATGGATATTGGATTTTAAAGCCTTTTATCGCATCCCCGTCGATTTCCATGACGCGATTTCCACACGAAGGGAGAATCACGCGACTGCTCTTATTAACTGTCCACTACGCGTCTGTTCATTCCAGAAAAACGAGATCGTTACTTTAGCGTGACTTTTTGATAATTCGGAGCAATTTTAATTAATAAAATATTACAGTTGTTACTTGAATCAATCGTTGATTGAGATAATTGGAGTTTTATTGGTCTTTTTACCTCTTGTCAAAATTTTTCTAATAATCTTTTATGAAAAAAATTCTCATACTATCTTATATTTTTGAGAATTTATATTTTTAATTTATATATATATATAATTTTCAGTAATTATAGAACGGAAAATCTTGGAAATCTTAGATTAATTCAAAATTCACATACATGAAAGGTTCTAAAAGATTTATGTCCATTTCTACCAATATAGATTAACTTTAATCTCAGTTTAATTCTTAGAACTAGAAAAAGATAAAAAATAAGTTAAAACAAAATTAAAGTTTCAATTTACATTGGTAAAAACGAACTCTAAACTTTCCAAGTACTTCTGAAAAAATTGTTCTAATGTAAGAAATTTGAGAAATTTTCTAAAAAATTATAAAATTATATATAGATTCTGAAAAAATTCTGAAAAATTAAAATTAGAAATAAATTTTCCATTTAGATTATATTTTAGTGAAAAAATATAATATTTCATATTGAAATGTACAAGTCATTTTCTGCTGCGTCTGATTCACTTTTATCCAAGTCATCAATGTACTTTTTAGTCACTATACATTTCGTCATGTGACAATCACAGGGAATGTCATGATGCACTTCCTCTGCATCCAACAAACTCAATTCCATATTGTAACGCCTTGGATGTGACGCGTCTCTTTTCAATTCGAATTTGAAAGCAATAGGTTCGTTCCTTGTCACTTCCATATCTTCGGGTAAAACCACTGCAGTTTGCTTCCAATGTGTCGTTTCGTCATGAGGCCCCGTAGATAGTTCCGAACCATCTGGGAATTCGACTGCAAACCAAATGCACATCCCTTGGAACTTCCCATCCTTTTTGCATACCGATACGTAGTCCTGTCCACCTAGTAGATCAATCTCTTCCACAGAGATGCACTCCAAATCCAACCATGCAAGCAATTTACCTTCCGCCAAAATATCATCTTGATTTACAAGCAGGATTTCTGGCTTTAAGGATTTAGTTTTTCTGTACTCCTTTCCAATACACCTAAATAAAAATTGAACATGCTCTCTAAATTCTTAGGACTAGACTCTTACTCTAAAGGGTGAAAATTGAGCCAGTCTTGAAAAAGTAGCTCAATTTTCAATCTTTAAGAGTGAAATTTACTCTGAAAGTTTTAGAAAGTACTGTAGAATAAAGATACAGTGCTTGTAATATTAAAAAAAAAACGATGAAATGAACCATTTTCCAAACGGCAGTATCCTACTTTTGTTCTGAAGTAATATAATTACCTCATACTGACTCCGCATACGTTATTCCAAAAATCGTACATGGAAGGTAATTGACATGGCGAGGCATATAATTTTGCAATGGATGGGAATAATAAACCATCCTTGTGTAAGAAGTTATCCCTAGCGAATAATACAGAATCTAACATTCCTTCGTGTACTAAATAAAAACCCATCCATTCCGACACAATTACGTCTACTTTCTCCAAACTGTCTGGAGAGATGTCCTCTACTTTACTGTGAATTACTTCAACTTTGTCCTGCATATTATTTTCAATTGACACTTGCTCGATACTGTTTGCCAGCATACTTGCTTCCACTGCGTAAACTTTCTTTGCACCAACTTGTGCACAAAAAATTGATAATATACCTGTACAAAAAATATATATGAACAAAATATGTAATGTTATACATATTACACATATCCCTTAAATACAAGAATACCTGAGCCAGCACCGATATCCATTACTATTTTGTTTTGAAATTTCTCTTTGGAATTAAAAATGGCAGTTTTATATGCCAAGACACGTGTTTTGTCATTTAACATTAACTGATGAATCTAAAAATAAAATTCAATGTAATAAATATAATGTACATAATAATGATTATATATGCATGTACTTGTTTCACTTACATCAAGTTCTTCGTAACTTTCAAAGTATTGATCCATTATTCATTGACACATGCACACGGTGTAAACAAAAATTATATGAAGTAATTCACAATTCTTGTTATTCTTAGTGTTGTTTTTTATTTACTTGGTCTTCGTTTATTTGAACAATATCTTTATTGAAAAATATATGAATCATAAGTGTATTTTTATTTTTTTGCAAATCGATCACATGGGTAACATCTAATTCAGTCTTCTTGTTTATCTCACTCAATATCGATTAAATCTGAATTTTAAGTAATTTTCTGGATATTAACATCATTATTTTATGTTTAATGGACGAATACAAAAATAAACACAAGAAATCTATTTTTAAATAATTTCGGGTATACAACTCCAAGCTTCTGAAATATTTGTGTGTTTAACATGAGATTTCTAACCTCACTTTAAGTGATACATGTACAATATATGTTATACTACATACTACAGCTATTCTAATTAATAGCATTAAAAATATTTTATTTTATATTTTTATTTATAGGTTACATATTTATTTAAAACAAATATTTAGTTTGCACATTATTAAAAAAATAGACATGTATACGCGAGTATAATGAATATCATTTAACCTTATCAACAAGAATTAATATTTCTATATATATTATATATGCTAAACATACCATATATTTTTATATATACTATTAATAATAATTCTAAATATATAGTATGCTGAATGTAAAGATTTATAATTTCCAATTACCAATATCTTAATATTTGGGATTAGGTTTGTTGTCATTGGTGAACACTAACCCATCTTTTTCCATCATACGCCTTTTAAATTCCATCTGCTTTTCCATTTGTTTCCTTTTCCTCTCTAGGCAATCAGTGTTTAAAAATTAGATATTTTTGCATAAAAATGATTTAATGAATACTAAATTTTCGACGTTACCTTGTCTTAGCTTCTCTTGAATTAAATTCTTTTTTTTCGATGAAGGTTCGTCAATCTGAACATTTGTAGATGACGATTGATTAATCTCCATTTTCATGTCATCTCTTATAATTTCATTAACAGGTTGTGGATATAGTCCCAAAGAAGGCTCTATATGTGTAAGAGTTCAACATTACATATACATTGCACTATGATTATAATGACCAAGAATGATATAACACTAATTAGAATACAACTTATTCTTCAAAACTTTAATTTTAAAGTTTTTAAGCTGTTTAGAATTACCTTTTTTAATGCGAGAAAAGTATTCTTAACTTGATCTTTATATTGCAGTCAAAATGTATCACATAACATTCCATAAAATCATAAGAAAGATAGTTATTTTAGACAGAATAAAAAAATTGAATAAGAATGAAAAAAATAGAATGTAAAATCTTTTTAAGAGATTCTTCTTAGAAACTTTCTATAAAAGATTTTTATATCACTTTCTATAAAAGATTTTTATATCACTCTCAGATATCTATATTTTTTTTTATATACTTATTTCTCACAAACCTTTTATTAATTGATTTGTACTTTTATTTGGTTCAGGTTCACTCGTACATTCTGTTTGTTGTACATGAGAAACAGGTGCTTTAATTGAAATATTTGATTTATCTGGAATCTGCTTGTCTGACTTTATCACACTTTTTTGTATGTTATTAACTTGTTCAGGATCAATCTGTTTTTGTAGCTGTTGCAATTCTTTTTCAATTTTATCTCCAAATGACAACAGGACTCTTTTCAAGGCATTTACAGCAGAACCCTGCATACACAGAAATAAATGTTTAACAAAATATAAAATATTCTGCTTCTTTGTTCTCCAATTGACCGACACATACAACTCTGGCATTGTGTATCGATAAGCCTTTTGTGGATTCCTCTGCGCTGTAATAACCAATATCTTCATGAAAATTTCCATTCTTAAGCTGGACCTTGACAAAGCTGACGCAGCCAGTACAACATTTGGCACCAATTATTTCAACAAAATCTACAACAAATTCTAGCTTACTTTTATAAATCTAACAGAACTATAGTCACACTTAGGCCCGATTTCACAATATATGATTACTTAAAGATTAAAGGTAACCAAGAAATTCATGAATGAATTTCATTGATGAACCTGTTGGTAACCTTTAATCTATAGGTAACCATATATTGTGAAAACGTTTTTTATAGGAATTTCTTCAACCATGGGTACCTTCCATTTGATGATACAAGTCAACAAAAGAGTCGTTCTATCCTTCATGATATTCAGAGAGTGACAAAGATGAAAGATAAAACGATACTTGTGTCGACTTGTGTGACATCAAATTGAAAGCACCCTGAAATAGTAATAAGTATACCTAATGTTTGATTCACAACAGTATGGCTCCATTTGTCTTCTCCAAAAACCTTATTGGCCGTTAAGATTAAATTACGATGCTCCGTCGTTAGATCCATCGGTTCTGCCTTTTCGTGCGTATTCTTCATCGCGGTTTGTTTTGAAGTGTTCTGAGAGGCGAAAACATTTATAGGCATCACTCTCGCACAGTCAAAAAATCAATTTGCTACTTTATTTTACAAAGCCACAAGCCAAGATCTGTGAGATTACTCACGATTTTGATACACGACAGATATTCGTGCCCATTGTACATATTGCCGACAAAATCTTCAAATTGCAATTTTTGCGCGCGAAAGCAACCAAGGACGCACAAGAAAACGTAAACAGAAAATAAATCGACCAATAACAACAGAGAGATGTCGGGAACGAGAATATCAACAGGAAACAGCTGAAACCCAAGTCTCGAAAAATGATAATCTAGATTCTAGCAGACAGAAAAATCGACTAATCGGGTCGAATGTGGCGGCATGGCGTTTGATTTGATGGCATTCTTTACGGGAAACGTTCGAGGAAACGTTTCCTTTATATTGTTCTACGCAAATACGTATTTAAACATATTTGGCATTTGTAAAATAGCAAGAGTTACAACTACGAATGTTACGAGTTATTAATAATTGATAAAATTAACTGCAGTTTAAATGAAGTCGCCTAGCTTTATCACAATTAAATTAACAGCCAAAAGCAAGAATTTAAACTGAATAATTGTGGATAATTCCTGCGTGTTTGATTATTTTTCGCTGAATATATATACATATATATAGATATCTCGCTTCATAATCATCGCCTTTGAGTTGCGACGTAAGTAATGATTAATAAAATGACGCGGAGCTATATTTCAATTCTGTATCCGTGGCATTGAGTGAGATTCAAACCAGCTAAATTAAACGCTGACATTACGTTGCCGATCGGAAAATACAGCTAGAAAATCACGTGAAAACTTTGGCGAACGACCAGTTATTTCAAGATTTATGACGCGGATGATACGCTGATTCGTTTCGTCGTACGTGAGATCGCGCGATAGCGGCGTTTATCATCGAGGAGTGTCGAGGACTATTTTTTTCCTGACGATTATCAAACGACGCAGGAGCGAAAGCAGTCAAAGCACTCGTGCGAAGACGGGGGTGGACGGGGGGAGGAACGCGAGAAAGCGCGCTCATCGTCCCATGTCGATTGATTGACGTGGGAGGCGAGCCTCGTAGGCTGATATGCCGCGATTAATGTGACCGACGAATCGAAGATGGAATATTTCGTCAGGGCGCGACAACCCCTGTGACCACTCGTGACACGTATGTACAACGCGACAACCAGCGACAACGTCGTCCAAATTCTAGTCTGACATGAGATTCAATGATAAGGAGCTCGCGGAAGCGAGCTTTGGACCCGCGGACCTGGAGGGACGTCTAAACCACAAACGAGCCCATAAGTCAGGTTAGTTTAGTGCGAGACGCGAATATTGAGTGAGTTTTACGTAACGGCGATGATCTTAACCTGTCTTCTGTCATATCTGTCACTGCCTGTCGCTTGATAGATTTTATTTGTGTAGAGAGTTTCGATTGTGTAATTTATAATTATTCTACGAGATTACATTGTACATACATGAATTAATATTATATGCTGCTATTGCGTCGTTATCTTTGGTTTATTTAATTTAGACTTAAAGATTTTTTTCAATCATTATTGCCATTTGCAAGGCAATTGTGATAGATAATGTAGAGGGAATGAAACGATTGTAAATAAAACTTGTTAGAGAGTGTTGATTATTACTTCTGAAATACTTGGAGTAAATCTTTCTGGATCGAAACAAAGAAAGACATTTATGTATTAGTATATTATACATCAATAATCTAATCTGTATAACATTCTGTATATAGTAAATAGTTAGATTATAAAGTTGTTTTCTAGCTTTAACTCTTAATAGTACATCTCATAGTTTTACAAGAAAATTAATATCAGTTGAAGGAAAGAATTAAAAGATGTATTCACAATTCTAGATATTTAGAGTAAATGATTAACATGTATCTGATATTTATTATTATATTTGCTTCCAGTATTCAAAGAGAAATGGTTCAAGTTGCGGTACAATCTACTATTTTACTTCAATATCAATGACTTGGGACATATCGATAGGAGGCAACCTGCTGGAGTCATCATTTTAGAAAATTACAACATTAATATAGATAATTCGTCAGAGGGAGCATTTGCGTTCAGCATCTCGTTTCGTGATGAGCCAGAGAAGCGGCATATATTGAGTGGTCGATCAGAGTCTCAAGTGGAGCAGTGGGTAAATGCACTTAAACGAGCAAGCTACGAATACTGGAGATCTCGCCTGATCACACTTCAAGAAAGATTGTGTAAAAAGACAGGGAAGGACCCGCTACTTATGTATCCCAGAAATCAGGGTGTAGTGCGAGATGAAGCTTGGGAACCTGCTACCAGCTTCAGATCTCATGTACGTTCGTTTACAACGTCGGTCGCGCCTACATTGAATACAATAACGAGGGAAGTTAATCTGATAGATCTTTAATACAGAGGAATAATTTTAGACAAATTAAAATTTAATTTTTTTAAATGTAATTATAAAAAATGACATCACCAAATTTATATTTTGAAGAAATATGCATATATATATATATGTATAGTGTCGACGAAAGAAAGTTTGCGTAAAACTGCCATAAGCAAGCAAGTTTTAAGATGCAAGTCCAATAAGTATGTACAAGCTTTAATAATTTATATCTTATAATAATGTAACATAATATACTGCATAGAATCTATATCACGTGCAAAACAGAATGCGAAGGAAAATAGAATTATTGCAGTCAGATAAAGTAATTAATTTTATATAATAATGATTTTATTTGATATATTTTAACAATATTGAAAAGTATGTGTAAAATTCAGAAAAGAATTGAAAAAATTTTTACAAGAATTTTTTTCTAACGTGACAAAGGCCGGTATCCATAGTTCGTTCTTATTCTCAAGATCATCTCAAGCAATGTCTTAAAATGCTAATACGGCTCTCTGGCCGGTATTCATAGTCGGATCTTATATTTAAGACCGTCTTAAGTACAGTCTTAAGATGTCATGAATCAATCAGAAGGCCGCATTAGCGACTTAAGACATTACTTAAGACGGTCTTAAAATAAGAACCGACTATGAATACCGGCCTG